CATTCCAGGTGATGCCAGTGATTATGCTCTAGTATAGTGTGAAGATATATCTTCAAGGAGGGCATAGGTTGGCTTAGAAATGATATTTAAAGGCCTATTTTTTGGGAATTGGCTTATAGGTATAGATATATGCATTATAAGGGGTCAAGATGGGCAGCAGGGTTAGATGGATTTCTAAAGAGCTTGGGAGACACACACACAGCTTCTCATGGCTCTGGGCTCTGTAGCACAACAAGGCCAATGGATGGACAGAGCCTGAGAATAAAAGGGGGGGCTTTCCATAACACGAGATCACAACCTTCAAGGCAGACCCATTGTCTAACATAACAAGGACAGTCTAGACAACAGCCTGGGAAGCAAAGGGAGTATGTACCATACTGTCCCATAACACAAGATAAGTGACACCAGCAACAAGGCCTCAGAGAGCAGTGGGGGGCTAAGTCCTGGTTTTGGGGGAACAGACCAAGTTAGGAGAAGGCCTGGAAGGCTATGTGGATCACAGAGAGACAACCAACCAGAGATAGCCACAGGTGAAGAATCATCAGGAGTCATCTAGGGGGAAGGAGAATACAAAAGCAAAGACTTGAGATTAACAGCGGGTCCCTCCCTTTGTCTTATCCATCCCTCTCTTCCCTCCCTGTTTTGCTCCCTGAGAGGAGTCCCCATCCCTGTGCCCCTGGGAAGGGTCCCCGGGGTCACCATGAACTGAGGGCATACCAGTAGCCCATCTCATGCACCCCACTGGAGGTGGGCTGTGGGCCTAGGCATCCCACCTCCAGATTGCTGACACCTAAAAGAGAGAGCCTCAGAGTTGAGCCTGCATCCTGACCAGATGTACCTGGACTATGATGACAGCCTTAGGATTGGTAGGTACAGAATTGTTTGGTTGTTTGTATTATTGCTTTTTTGTTCATACTCTTTATCAATAAATTCACCTATTATTGACTAGCAGGTGTTGTGGTCGGTCTAAGGGTTGAGCCCGCCTGGAACAAAGGTATCGCTGCTGGTTCCAAATCCAGTGTCAACAGGCCTGACCGCCTGAACCATTTTCATTGACCTCTGATGCACTCTATTCAATTTGTCCACATCCTTTCTGTAGTGGGGAGCCCAAAACTAGACACGGGACTCCAGATGTGGCCTCGCCAGTGCTGAATAGAGGGGGATAATCGCTTTCCTTGATCTGCAGGCAATACTTCTAATAGTACAGCCCACGCTGCCATTAGCCTTCTTCACAACAAGGGCACATTTTTGGCTCCAATTCAGCTTCTTTTCCACTGTTACCCACAAGTCCTTTTTCAAAGAGCTGCTGCTTAGCCAGTCAGTCTTCAGCCTGTAAGAGTGTATGGGATTGTACCTTCCAAAGTGCAGGAATTTGCACTTGTCCTTATTGAACCTCATGAGATTTCTTTTGGTCCAGCCCTGCAAGTTGTCTAGGTCTCTCTGAATCCTAGCCCTACCCTCCAGTATATTTACTACTCTCCCCAGCTTGGTATCATCTGCAAACTTGCTTAGCATGCACTCCATCCCATGTTCCAGGTCACTGATGAAGATACTGAACAAAACCGACTCCAGGACTGACCCTTGGAGCACTTCACTTGATACTGGCTGTCAACTAGACATTGAGCCATTGACTGCTACCCTCCAAGCCCAATGATCCAGCAAGTTTTATAACCACCTTACAGACCATTCACCCAAACCATATTTCTTTAGCTGGCATGCAAGAATGTAATGGGAGGCCATACTGAAAGCCTTGCTGAAGTCAAGGTACATCACATCCACTGCTCTTCCCATATCCAGAAGACCCCGTCATCTCATCATAAAAGGCAACCAGGTTGGTCAGGCAGGACTTGCCCCTGCCATCTTGTCCAGGAGGTGAAATCTTCCCTACCTCCCATTCCCTACCCTGGCCCTTGCCTTTGTCGACCAGGTCCTGTGTGATGGTGGTCCCCACCCCATCCATGTCCTCCAGCCCACCTGAATTTGTCACGGGGCCAGCACCTCGCCCAGCTTCACAGCGCTCCTCACTCCACCACCTGAGCTGGCTGGAGGATACCAGACCAGTCCGCTTTTCCACCATCCATTGCCACCAGTAAGAAGTAAGAAGAAGTAAGAAGTAGGAAGTAAGAAGAAGGCACTGGGTAAAATGGGGCACCTACAGGATAGGCTTGGCAATCTGGTGACTGCAGCAAACAAAAAAGCTGACCTCTTTAACGAATTCTTTGCCTCCATATTCCTGAACAGGGACTGGGACATCTCACCTACTAGAACTGCGGATAGACCCAGGGGAGGCACCGCCATGCCTAGGGTCAGGGATGACCTAGTTAGGGAATTTTTGTAGGGGCTGGACATGTTTAAATCAGTAGGTCTTCATTGAAGGTGCTGAGGGAATTGGTGGGGGTCATAGTAAGGCCCCTGGCACAGCAATATGAGCACTTGTGGGGCACTGGCCAGGTACCAGAGAATTGGAAAAGGGCCAATGGGGTCCCCATTTACAAGAAGGGGAGAAAGGAGGACCCCGGCAATTACCTTGGTCCTTGGAAAGACCTTTAAGAAAATTATCAAGGAGTACATCTGCAAGGGCCTAGCAGGGGAGGTAATGCTCAGGGGTAACCAATATGGGCTCGTTGAGGGTAGGTCCTGCCTGACTAACCTGTTTTTTTTTTTTATGATCAGGTCACAAAGTCCCTGGACGAGGGTGTTTGGGGTGGATGTCATCTTCCTGGACTTTAAGAAGACAAGGTTCCTTGGGTGAATTTGATATCTTTTATTAGACCAACCCAAATAGTTGGAAAATAATTATTAAGCAAGCTTTCGGGTTCAAAAATCCTTCGTCAGGCTAAGGAAGTTTCAGTAGTTGTTGTGTGCTCTTCCTGGATGGGATGAAAAGTAAAGATGCCAGGGGCTGGGCTGGGCTGCACACAAGACAGGTAGTCAGTGAAAATGTAGATTGAGGAGTCAATGGGTGAGAGACAGGCTGTGGGGGGGAAGAGAGAGAAGGGGGATGATAGTAGAGAGATACCTGGGGAGTCAGATGTCAGGCAGGTAATATAATATATAATGTGTCATAAATCCAATGTCTATATTTAGTCCATGATTTTTAGTATCCAGGAGGTTGATGAAGTGGAGTTCATAGGCTCGTCTCTGGGAAGTGTTTTGCAAGTTTCCTTTGAGGATCAGGACTGCAAGATTGGAGAAAGAGTGGTTTTCTTGTGAGAAATGTGCCCCCACCGGTAATTGGGTATCCCTGCCTTTGATAGATGTTCGGTGTGCGTTCGTTCTGGTGCGCAGTTGTTGTTTGGTCTCCCCACGTATTTTCCATCAGGGCATTTGGTGCACTGGATGAGGTATATCACATTTCTGGAGGTGCAGCTGTAAGATCCTGGGATGCTGATGGCTCTGTTGTGGGGTGTAGTAAT